AGCAATTCATAATACCGAACCCCAAAATTGTTTTGTACCTTATTTACCCTTTTTCATTTCTCACGCAAACCCGCTTTTGACCGAACCATAAAATAGAAAATTGAAAATCAACACTGCCCTTACTTCCTGCAATGATTTTATTTTATTTTTAATAAAAAAAAGTAAGGCTCAAATCCCCATTGATTTACCAATAAAAAAAAAAAATTGCCCCTACTTCTTCTATTCCTTATTCCCCTTTTCTCTTCTTCATCTCTATCCTCCCTCCTCTCTCCTTGATTTTCTTCATCTCTCCTTTTTTTTTTTTTCTCTTGAAAAAAGTTTATATAAGATTGAGGCCCCAAACAATCAATCTAGGGCGTACCTTAAGAATTCACTAGAAAAAGTTATATAGGTGCCGAAAACCCCTCAAATCCAATCATCGCATCATTGAGATATATATGGAAGCAAAAGGGCCTTCATATCTTGAAAATAATACATCTTGTAATGTATTATCTAGACCGTCAATTTTAAAAATTTTCGAGTGTTCATAGATATGCTTGATCTACACTATTTTTGAAGCTTTAAATTTTATAGTTAGTAATTAAAATAAATTTTCAAGCCATCATAAATATTTTTGATACTGCAATGACATCTCTTAATACTATTTCAAGGTGCACCTTATTTTGATCGTTTACGGCCTTAGTACAAACCACATGCTTCTTCTCTTTGGTACTTATGCTCCCTCTTTTCCAAAACCATATTCTTTTTCCCGTGGTTTGTTTGAATTTAAGTTGCTACTAATTTAATATTTAGTAAACTTAATCTTGATAACAAATATATGTTGTTCGGTAGTGTCACTCATAAAATTAAACACAATAAATTATAAACTGTTTTAAATATGATTTTATTTCATTGAAAATATGTGTTTACTTTATTCAAACTAATTTGCTGAAAATCACACGTAATATATATATATATATATATATTACATGGTATATATACCAAACAACTAATAAAACAATACTTTTGAGACATATTAACTTCAGATTATATATGTTAGTATTTTTGTTTTAAAACACACACAGTTGTATTTCAAAATAACATAATAATTTATGTTGTGTTTCTAAATTTTGAATAAGTTGAAAGAGAAAGGTTTTAGTTCCACATTGAAAAAGAGAGAGAGTGAGGGTTGAGTAGTTTATATGCATGGACACTCTCGTCCGAGCACGCGTGCACATGTAACTGATCATATCAGACGTTGATAATTGTTTATTTTGATACACTATCTTCTACAAAGCAAAGCTTGAAGCACAAAAAGAGACCTTTTGTTTTCTTTTATCCCAAGGATGAATTTGCCAATCTTATGTACATTGTTGACAGTTAGATGCCCGAAAATAAAAAAAAAAATCATTTTAATTTTGGCCCTTTTTCACCCAACCATTTTCCAACAATATTGTCTACTCCTGATAAGACCATTTTCCAACAATATTGTCTACTCCTGATAAGACTGGTTGTCATGCAAACAATCGCTTATATTTTCTTCTCTTTTTCTAGGTCATCTATTCATTTCCTCTCTCCAAAACCTATAGAACGGTAGGCATCAAATAAATAAAGAGTAGTGGCTTGGTTCGGAACCTTCAACACAGCCGAGGACGCAGCAAGGGCCTCTGATGTTGAAGCCTGAAAATCAAAGGCCCCCCGTAAGACAAGACCCATTTCCAAATTTCCCAAAATACCCCTACGTCGACGCGCCATGAGGAGTGGCAATGGGCGGGTAAAGGTCCTGACCGGATCCAAACCTGCAAATATAGGGTGGGATCTGGACCAGACTCACCCGACCTAAAAAATAAATAGATATATTTTACAATATTTAAATGGGGATGGCAACGGGTCGGGTTTGGCTGGACCCTGACCCAGACCCAGACCCGAATAGTATTTAGGTCTAGGTTTTGAACCCGGACCTGACCCATCGAGTCCAAAAGTTAGACCCATACCCTGATATGTCGGGTCCTGGGTCTATCCCTCGGGTCCTGAGTCTGATCAGGTCCTTGCAACCCTCATTATGAGTTTTTTTTTTTTTGTCATTTGTTTACCATTATATACCTATATTATTGGCAACAAGGTCACAATCACCTGTCATTAGATTTCAAGCAGACTGATTTGTCGTTTAATCGCCAAAGATGACTACGAGTTCTTATTGTATACAATCCTTAATGCATCTAAACGAATAGTGTTTGAAAAATTTTATCTCCAACAATTTATGGGTACGAATCGGGTCCAACGAAACCCGGACTCGAACATGAATAATGTTCGGGTCCAAGTTTTGGATTCGGACCCAACCCGCCAGGTCAAAATGTTGGACCCATACTCGGACCCGTGTCGAATATACCCGGTGGGACCCAAGTTGGGTCTGGGTCCATTGCCACCCCTGCATTTAAATATATTTCATGTATTGGGACCCGAAAATATTCCAGACCCAGACCATACCCAACTACTATTTGGGTCCAAAATATGGACCCGGACCCAACCCACATGGTCCAATTTTTAGACTCATACTAGCATTCGGATCGAGTCTACCCCTTGGGTGCTAGATCAGGTCTAGGTCCACTACCATCCCTACGCTGAATCTATCAATTTCCCAAAGTGCCCCTCTCCGAGAAGACGGCTTTAATCCTGACCAGTTTGCTTTCCTGGTGCGTGAGAGTGTGAAGCCGCAAACCGAGGTGTTAAAGTGGCTTAAGGTTTGGGCCATGGCTCAATAGGAGAGAGAGAGAGTTTTAGAACTTCATTTTTTCAAGGGAGAAGTTTATAATGTCTTTTTTTCAAGGGAGAAGTTTATATAGAGCCGCTCTAAGCAATCAAATTTGAGCCTACCTCAAAATTTTCAATAAAGGAGGTTGTTTTGATGCTCAAATATCTTCAAATTGATAATCTCGACATCAAAATGCATGGCATATGAAAAAAAAAAATGGATTTTAAGTTTTGGAAATAGTATATTTTGTAATACATTTTTTTATCGTCAATTTTCAAGATTTTTAAGTTTTCACATATCTATCGATCTACACTACTTTTGAAGCTATAAACTTTATAAATAAAGATGAAAATATATTTTAAGGCTATCACAAATATTTTCAATATTGAAACTACATTTCTCGATACTATTTGAAGGTAGGCTCTAATTTGATTGTTTAGAGCCTAGGCTCCATACAAACCACACCCTTTTTTCAAAGGATCCGGTTTTTATGCACCCAAGCCCGCATATATAGAGATACATGCCAATTAATAAATATATTTTTTAAAGGGATTTTAAGACTTTATTTTTAAAGACATATAATCTCTAATATGGAGATCATGAATATGAATAAATAAATAAAATTTAAGAACTAAAAATAATAATTCTAATAAAAAAACATTTGGATTGTTAATTTTTATTATTTTTAAATGACACACCTACTTGTATTTTTCTTTAAAACAGATGCTTTACACTTTTTAGACCGCATATGTAGAAATGCGGTCCAACCGGCATGAAACAAGTTTCTTTTTCTTTTTCAAATCAACGTACCTTACGTAAGAGAGAGAGAAGGGAGTGTTTAAAGAAATAATGCGATAACTGTCAGAAGGTGGCAATAAAAGTATTTAATGCTACCTGCCATTCCTTCCTCTTCACTTACCTTACGTAAGAGAGAGAAGATAGGGCCGTTTTGTTATAAACCACATGGAAAATGGCATTAAAAGACTTAAAAATTGATTAATGAGTCCAAGGAAATTCAAAATTTCCCACTTAGAGAGTGAAATTTGAAATAAAGAAAACACACTCTATTCTAATACTTTTGATACCTCACCACTAATATTAGTACTATTTATTGTTTCAAATACCGTACCATCTTATAAATTGCCCATTTTTATCTTTGTTATATTGGATGGCCTTATGAACATAAAAAAAAACAATAATAAAAATTAAAATACAGTTTGATTTTAGAAACATCATATCACGAGCAAGGTTAAAAAACAAAGGCGCTATTTAAGAGGGGGTTGGTCCTTCTGCGTAAATACTGTAAATTTTTCGACATTTTTGTTATAACAGTAAAATAAAATGACACGGATGTGATTTTTCCTTAACATTAGATTTCAATAAAAAAAATCTGCTCGTTTTCTGATTTTTATTATAAAAAGTATTAACAATTAAGAAAGGGGTAAAAGTTATCCATCATGTAGCATGAGGGTTAGCAACACATTTACTCACAATAAACCCACCACAGCTCCAAAGACGGCAGTAAACTCCCTATCACATACCTTAAAAGGAAAATGTTTATATAAGATTGCAACCTTATTTTATTGAAGTAAGGTGAACCTAAAAAGTCCTAGAGAATATAGCTTTCGGACTTTGGAGAGCCCTCTAATTAATCATCTCGACCTCGAGATCTATGGAAATTAAGAAAAAAATGAATTCCAAGTCCAAAAAATTGTACATCTTATAACAAGTTATTTGAACCGTCTATTTTCAAGATTTTCAAGTGTTTATTGATATGTTCTATTTGTACCATTTTTGGAATTCTGAGTTTTATATCTATGGATGAAAGTAGATTTTCTAGCCATCGTAAGGTTTCCAACACCAAAACGACATCTTAAAGTAAATTTTAGAGGTGTGCCTTACTTCTATAGTATAAGGAGGCAACCTTACAAAAATCTGACCTTTATGTAAACTCCCTATTAGTACGAATAAAAAGCACAAATAAAATTAAGATGACCCACGTAATAAATAATTAAATATCCTTTAAATGATTTTGAGGGTTGCCCACATATTGCATGGAACGAATGAAACGTTTCTCTCTCTTAAATTCCATTGTTTATCCACGTACTCCTCTCTTTCTCTTAAAATTACGAACCACTCTCCCTATTTTCCCTTATTTAAACTCCCTCCCTCCCCCTTCAACTTCGTTCACTCTCTTCCTTCTTTCTCTCTCTCTCTTCCTCTTCCTTCTTTTTCTCCTTGAAGTCTTGCTCCTACTGTCTGTGAAACAATGGCGGGCAAAAGACAGAGAAACGGCAGTGGGTACACCGGAGTGAGAAAGAGGCCATGGGGCCGCTTCGCCGCCGAGATAAGAGACGGGGCCCACAAGAGGCGTCGATGGCTCGGCACCTTCGACACGGCCGAGGACGCGGCAAGGGCTTATGACGCCGAAGCATTGAAGATCAAAGGTCCCAAGGCCAAGACCAATTTCCCCATTTCACAGAATACCCTCGCACCCGGGCCTCTTTTTCCGAGTTCCCACAATGCCCCTCTGCAAGATGAGGGGTTCAACCCCGACCAGTTCGTCGCCGAGGTGCTCCAGTGTGTGGAGCCTCAAACTGAGGTGATCAAGTGGTTTAAAATTTGGGCTATGGCTCAAATGGAAGACAGAGAAACCACAGTTTCTCCCTCTAACTTGGGTGCTTTCATGTGGTAACTCTTGTTAATGGTGAACTCTACTAATGAACATACACTCAAAAAGTTTATGCCTATGAACTCTCACTCTCACTCACTCACTCTCTCTCTCTCTCTCTCTCTCTCTCTCTCTCTAGATGTTGTATGGATGTGTTACACAGTGGTAGCTCTTTCAAAGTGTAAGATAAAGTTTAGAATTCTCTCTCTAGATGCTGCTACATGGAGATGGTTTTTGAAGATCCATGGGATGGACAACTCTGGTTTAGAGAGACAAAGTGAATATGATCTTGGCTAGCTGAGTTTTGGAAGATAAAAACACTTCACCTAGCTGGTTTGCTGGTTTTGGTGCAATTTTGTAAGTTTTGGGCACACAAAAACTTAGGGCATGTGTCCTACATGGATGTACCAGTTTTGTGCATAATTTCCTCCTTTTAGTAAGAAGCTTTACATTACTATTTTAAAGAGTTGTCTCCCTCTTCTTGAACAAATACAAAGTCAAAATGGAGAATGCCTGAGAGAACGAAGAAATTGCGAATTGAAAATAGAGAATGTTTGCATGAAGAGAGATAAAGAATGAAGAAATTGCTAATTGACATTCGAGGTGCTTGTCCCTTGCATGATATATGTATTTATTTATTTATTCTTGGGAGAAGGTACCTAGGGACCCTAAAATAAGATTCACTAATAATACTTGGTATTATAAGTCAAAAATTATGTTTTTGATTTGAGTGATTTTTGAACTTCCCTATACACAACAAACTAATCACATGGATGATGCACTGCAAAAAAAACATAAAAAGTCGACTGTTTGGGCAGCTCGAAAGTTGGGATTTTAAAACCCCACAAAAAAACATCAAAGCATTCCGGTAGCAGTAAAATTTGAACTTTCGAACCACTTAAATAATTTTTTTTTTTTTATCTCTATTTTACATTAAGATTTTTGTTTTTTATTTTTTGGTATTTTACATTAGGATTTTTGTATTTTATGCGGTTCTAAAGTTGGATTTTTAAACATATCCGGCATAATTTCATTTTTTTTATTTTAATAGTAAGAAAGTTAGACTTTCAAACTACTTAAATATTTAATTTTTTATGTATTTTAGAAACCTCCAAAGTACGATAAGAATAATATAATGTAAAAGTTTAAGATTTTATAAGGAAAATAAGAATTAGAAAATATACAAGAATAAGAAAATATGCAAATTCGGGACCGCACTATAAAAGAACCAATAATTTCTTATTTTGGGTCCACACTTACATTTTCTAGTATTCGTATTAAGATTATTGAGAGAGAGAGAGAAAGAGGGAGAAATACATAGGTATTGAGAGGGAGAAATAGAGAGGCAGCACATTAAGAGAGATGTATATAACGCGCATTTTAAATCGCACTTATCTTACGTAAGAGAGAGATGAAGGAAGAAGAAGGGGGCTGTTTCCGTTATAATTTATAACGGATGGGTGGTGGCGGATATAAAAAGTAAATATTTGGTGCGTCACTTGGTTTTACGAGGAGGTTGGTTTAGAATTAGGTAGGAGAGAGATTTATGCAACGTTCTCCCATTGGGCTGTCCAATTTTTGATCAAGTGAGCTAGTGATTGTTTTGATTTAGATCGGACGATTCGGAGTATTTTATTTTTATTTATATTTATAAATTATATGAATATAAAATTTAGTATGTAAAACAAACATTAAAGAAATAATTTCGGAAAAATAAAATTACTAAAACACATGTGAAATTTTTAGAGATATTTTGACCATTTTATTTTATTAAAAATATTATTTTTATACTTTATACGGGTGTAAGTTTAAGAGAGGAGTAAACTCCTTAAGTTTGTCAAAATATTTTATAGAAAAAATTAAAATAAAATAATATAAAACGTCACACTTGGTAGAAAATAAGATATATAAGTTTTATATATTAAGAAAAATATAGAAGCTTGCCCCATTTCAAACCACCTTTGAGAGAGAGAATGTAACTGATGATGGAGAGTGGCATTTTAAACCTTTTAAGAAGTAAATATGGGGTGCATCACCTTAGTTTTAAGCGGCAATATTAATCTCCCATTTACATTACGTAAGAGAGAGAGAGAAGGGCGTTTTTTGGGAAGATTGATAGACGTGGAAGGTGGTATTAAAATTATTTGAGAGGCAAAATAAATAGCGCTGCATGAGCTTCCATTAAAACAACTGTAAATTCTCACTTACCTTTCTAAAAGAGAGAGAGGTTATTATTATTATTATTATTATTTTGGTATTTTTTGTTTGGTGAATAAGGGGATAATGGCCCCTACGTGTATTATTAATAAACGAAAATTGATATTACATGTACAATCATTGTACAACCCTTTCTAAGCGAAAATTGGCAACATTATATATAAGATTAAAGGAGCTAAAAAATAGGAAGACGTGCTCGCCACACCGTTGCTTCTTCCATGGATGTAGCCCTCTTGGCTAGGCAGGCGGCAACCATGTTGGCTTCTTTGAAAATGTATAATATCTTCAAACTCGTGGTTTGCAAAGGAGATGAGCCCTGCAATTAACTGAGATTGTGCGTGCTTCCAAGGTGGCTTGCATCGACGACTCAAGGATTCATGTAGTTTGGAGTCGCTTTCAATGATGAGAGAACTCCAATTAAGCTTTCTTGTTAACCAGAAATGCTGAGGTCCAATGCATGAAATTCAACAACATTATTGGAGTTGTGGCCGAAAGGTGCTACAAAAGCCGTCATAAATCTGCCGACAGCGTTTCTGATAATCCCTTCATAACTAGCAACACCGGGATTATGGATGGAAGAGCCCTCAATGTTAAGCTAAAAATGACCACTAAGGGGTGGTGACCATGCCGGACTAAGGCAGGGGAAGGGCTCCATACGCCAGGTCTTGAGGTCCGTGGTGATGCTTCTTTCCAAAGGGACGGAAAGCTCCTCTTTTGCAATCAAGTTGACAAAGTGAATTATCCACTGAAAATGATGTACTCTAATTAGGGTTGAGAATGGGTCGGATCGACCTAGATCTATTGGGATCCGGATCTGAACACAAAAAGTATATATAAGATCTTGATTTGGATCCAAACCTGATTGCATCCAAAATATCATATTAAGATCCAAATCCAAAAACAATACATGAGATGTGGATTTAAATCCTGACCCGATTGGATCCAAAACAATTATTTTATATATTATTATATATCTATAAAATAATATTAAATAATATATAAAAAAACTACTGCATAATATATATATATACAATAATTTATAATTTTTTAATAACTGGCTTGGATCCAAATCAGATCCATTTGTACCAGATCCAATATGAATTACTATTTTTGATCCTAATTTTGGATTTGGATCCAACCCGTCAAATACAAATCTTGGATCCAACTTATATCCAGATAAAATTTGAAATTCAGGTTTCAAATCCAAATCGGGTAAATTCCCAACCCTATCCTTGATGTCATTTTTCCCACGCGCAACCGTGAATTTCTCTCTGTCAACAAATACTAGGTACCACCAACGAAGACAGCCAAATATTTTTCATACATGGGGATTTAAGTTGAAACTTGATCCACTTAACCCATCACCGTTCTGTTTCTGCTGAATCTCCAAAGGATAGATCCCTAAGTACCTGCAAAAATTGATTTTCCCACTTTAGCCTACCCAAATAATTTCTTTTTTTAAGAAAAAAGAACATGAAAATTTGTGCTCTCAACACTATAGAATTTTAAGCTCTTAGCACTTGTATCTCGCAGTCCAAATTTGTAATGGTCTTTGTTCAAACCATGACATTTCTTTTTTTTTTCTCGAGTTATCGAATGTGTATTTATCTAAATTGCCGCATTTAGCTTGTTATATCCTAATTTTGGGGTATTAAAACTGTCTTTAGCAATAGCTACTAAGATAAGATTAGACCGTTGGATTTGACAAATTGGACTACAGACAAGTATTTTGGTTGGTCCGGTCCGAAGTAAAAATTAGTTTGAGTTAAAAAGAGGTCAAAAATAATGTTTGATGAGGCCGGCCGATTTTGATTGGTAGAATCCATTTAACAAAGTTGGACATTTTTTTGTAATGTACTTTATATTTTTAAACTCTTATTCTTGTTTTTAATTTTTGAAAATGTGAACCAATTGGTTTGATGATGATCAAATTGATTTTGATAGGAATCCCTAGCCCGGTAGAAGTAGAGTGAATAAATTCTTCCATTGGGTGTAGTTTAAATACCAATCAAATGCTAAATAGCCCAATTAAGTTTAGTATTAAAGGAAATTTATGAAAAAATAATATAATTTTATTAATAGTTATGCGGTCCTACATTTTTCTTTTTGGGGTAGATAGTTATATAGTCCTAATTTTAAGAGTGTGCATTTTATTTTCTCTTTTATATATTGGATTGAGCTCAGTTTGGGGAATTGATGTCTTATATTTATTAAAAATACCATAAGATATTTAAAATAAATAAAATGGGCATTTTTAAATTCCCTTTTAAAATCTTCACTTTAGACCTTGAATGACCCATTTGTACTTAACAAATCACTTTGTAACTTCAAGATCTCAAGCGATGGGATTTTGCATGGAAAGCTCAAAGTTATAGTAAAACATGCATTTTGGAAAAACAATAAAGTGCAAAAATAATGTGAATGCAGAAAACAAAATTAGCATATTTTAGTTTATTATATGAGATTGTATATTATAAGAACATTTATGTTTATTTTATGAAATTTACGAGATGAAAGTGTTACCACATTCGACAATTTTTACTAGAGATGCTCTTGTCAAAGAATGACCCATCGTCAATCACCTGATTTTAAATCTAAGGGCCTGATTGTGACCGCCAAACATTTTCCAATTTTATTATGCAGTTTTGTAAGGTACCGTTTAAGGAGTAGATGGCCATTATCAACCGCCTGATTGCACATCTAACGGTCCTTTGTATTTTAAAAAAAATGTTTTATCGTATACTTTCCCTAGTATGAGCGCCCCATTCTCAGTTTGCTGGTTCGATTTGCAGCGGATTAGGGTTTTGGAGCTCGGAGTTAGTGTTTAGACGAGCTTCGCAATTGAATTAGGGTTTGTGATTTTGTATCTGAGAATTAAGGTTTTGGAGCTTGGCGAAGAGGGTTTGAAGTTGCAGTTAACCAGGGTTTGGCAACGAGAAATAGGGTTGTCGACATTGAAGAAGCTCTATGGAAAACGGAACGAGAAATGGCCATGAGGAAAAGAAGTTGCAGAGTGAAGAAGAAGAGGAGGCCATGATTGGGCCTGGACCTGCTGCTCCTCATCGCAAGAAGCGGCCTCTCCAGTTTGAGCAAGCTTTTCTCGACTCTCTCCCCTGTGCTAACATGTAAGCCTTCTCTCTTGTGCCCTTGGTTCTCCTCCCTACCCCCCTCTTTCTCTATCTCGATTTGTTCTCCTCCCTCTGTCCCTCCTTCTTTCTCTCTCTCTCTCTCTCTCTAAAAGGGTTGAGTTTTTTTAGAAGAGGAGACCTTTCAAAGCATAAAGCTGATCCAATATTACTGTAATGGAATAAATATCAGCATGAGAGATTAATAATGTGGATTTCTTTTTTAGAGAAAAGATAAATCATTAATCATGTAGAATTTTATAGATACCTGGTGAAAATGTAAAATCTGAATAAGTGAGCATGTTCACATGTCCTGCAATCACTTTTGCATTCGCTGCAACAGGAAATTCTTATTCTTCAGTGACAATTCTCATATATAGTTTTCATGTATTGCCATAAGTGTGAGTTCTGGGTCCTGCAACTTAGGCGGGAGTGAACTACTAGGCTATGTGGATAAATCGCGAATTTAGCTATTAATGTGATGCATTCTTATGTCAGTAATGATGTGCTTACTATTGATTGAGTCATTTGCGTATTCACAGAGTGAGCTGCAAATTTCGATATAAGTTTCAATTCAAGACTTGCATGTAGGATGGGGCTTGTTCCTAGTGTTGGTTCTTTTTCAAAGACTATAGCCATGGTGGTTCTTATTGCCTTATAGCCTGCCTCTATCTCTTCTTTGGTTCCCTTCCCAGGTTTTGGGTTTGGAATGATGGGGTTTAAACATTTTGTGCATGCATCACGTTGTTATTATTGCAACTCTCTTAGAAATGCATGTCATTGATAAGAGAACATTTCTTAGGAGCCCTCATCACCTTGAATGACAAAAAATCTGTTGGGAGCTGTGTTGAGTGTTTTAAATAATATTGGTTGTATTAAAATGGTTATTCAAATGGGAAACCAGAGGAATAGGTATTGTACATAACTATTTTTATGATATATAGTAACTATAAGTAAAATTTCCAGTCAAATAAATTACAACAAATATGTGGCTGCTACTTACTATGTTTCTTTGGATACCATGCGTTGCAGGTATGAGAAAAGTTATATGCATCGCGATGTTGTCACGCATGTTGCTGTATCAGCAGCGGATTTTTTCATATCTGGAAGTGTTGATGGTATGTGTTAGTTTTGGTATTGTCTTATGAATGGAACAAATGTCCTTTATTCTTAATCAAATATTATGTTGTTTCTTTCTATGCTTCAAAATATTTCTTTACTTTTGGGAAAAGTTTATTTTGTAATGGAAAATGTGAAGTTCACCTTATTAGAGGCTTTACTATATAAATGGAACCTCATCTTTATTCTGATGGGGAAGTTTATTCTTCTGAAATGCATTTTCTACATAATGTACAATGTAGAATCATCATACAAAGGAGAAAAAATATGAAAACTTCTGGTTTCTTTGACTTTTCTTTTTGACTACGTGATAGAGATCAGCATGCTTGAGATTGATTTGAGTGGGGATTTTTTTCCTTAACTGGTGTTGGGACACCTTTTAGGATTTCGTGGTAACGTCTTATTTCTAGGCACTGTACTTCCTAATTGCAGACATACCTAATCCATGTTATGATAATATAATTTCGTCTCGTGTTGAGTGTCATCATCCTACATAGTTGATGTGTATCAAAGAAAAAATAAGGTAGAAAATATTTGATGTGCTTAAGAATTTTAGAAGTATTATATGTTGTGCAATTATTTGAAGGCTCTTACTGCTTTGATGCCTTGAATGATCTTCATTTTTCTTGTGCTCCTTGAGTATCCACTGATATGTTCATGTTCATTGCTCGACGTTTCAGGGCATTTGAAATTCTGGAAGAAAAAGCCTACTGGCATTGAGTTTGCTAAACATTTCAGATCTCACGTTGGTCCGATTGAAGGCTTGGCTGTGAGTTCTCATCCTTCTCCCACGTTTAGGTCATTTAGTGATGGATTTCATTCTTCCTTTAAAGCCTGAAGTTGGTTAATTTATTTGTTGCCGTAGTTGTTCCGTCTAGAATGGTTACCACTGGGTTGGCTCCATTATGTGGTGAATTGATCTGAGTTTTTGTGGGTGTAGGGGGTTTTACTTACTATGCATAAGCCAGGTGTAGTTCATTGCCCTATTTTATACTTGTTTTGGGAGCCTTATCATTGGTTTATTCGTTTGTTTACTTGTTTGAGGTCCTTAATACTTAATGATGAAAACATAGTTGCTTTATCTAATGTTTCTCTATTGGTGTGTGATCGAATTGGTTAGCTGTAACGTACATCTATAAGTGTGTTCCTTTTTTGCACTTATTTTGATCCATATTCTTTGTTATTTCCATATTTCCATATCCAAAATCTGTTAGTTTCTTGTTTGCAATGATTTTGTACTTTTCCTATGTCTCCTTATATCAGTGAATTGTGGCCTTTTTTGATTCATCTTATGTAACATGTTTTATTCTCCATTCTATTCAATACTTCTTTCATGTGCAGTTGTCAACTATGATGTTGTCCAGTATTGCAGGTCAGTGTGGATGGTTTGCTTTGTTGTACAATTTCAAATGACCGATCTGTGAAAATATACGATGTTGTCAACTATGACATGATGGTCATGATGCACTTGCCATTTGTCCCTGGTGCCATTCAATGGGTATATAAGCAAGGGGATGTGAAAGCAAAACTTGCCATTAGTGACAAGGACTCTGCTTATGTTCACATATACGATGCACATGCTGGTTCGAGTGAACCTATAATCTCAAAACAGGTTTATGTTTGTGATTTTTTTGCTACATCTTAAATGAATGGATAAAAAGTTATATACAGTTAAGGTTTTTTTTTTTTGGCTTTTATTATGCACAAATATCTTTTATTGCTTACATTTTCGTTTACTTTGTAGATTCATTTGGGACCAGTTAAAGTTATGAGGTACAACCATGCATTTGATACTGTAATTTCTGCGGATGGAAAAGGCGTAATAGAGTACTGGTCTCCTACTACTCTCCAGTTCCCAGAAAATGGGTATGATTGTCAAATAATTCCATTTCTTATTTATTTATTTATTTATTTGGAGTTGAGGCAAGAGAGAGTGGAAGCACATCCACTCATAATGTTTACTTTCATTTTATCCTCTTCTTTTTATTTTTTTATTGAGTCATCACTTCCATTTTGGTTTGCCTAATTTTTGTTTTTTTATTGGTATGTGTGTTTGCCATATTTGTGGTTAGTATGGCTGATGCATCTCTTTACTTGATTATGTCAGGCCAACTTTCAAACTAAAAACTGAGACCAACCTTTTTGACATTGCGAAATGCAAGACTACTGTTTCTGCTATAGAGGTATTCTGGTTTTCCCACGTATTGATATCTTATAATCTATGGTTGTCTATGTTGGTATTGCTTTGCTAAATTTTCTCTCTATATCTATATGGCAGCAGAACTCTACGGCAAAATCATACATTTAAGAAGAATCTATACCAAAATCACTTATTGACATGTTGCTTTCTGTATTCTTCATTTCTGTCACCTAAAAAAGAAATGTTGACAAAAGTGTATTAGTTCTTTCATTGCCTTTTAGAGGAATGTACGTGGACTGGGACATTTCAGCCTTCTATTATGTGGATCTATAACTTATGAAAAAAGAAATTATGTGGATTTATGGTTTTAGGATACTATTACTTCCTGTTGGTTTTGTCTTCCCTTCTGTGGGATGTTGAGGCCCAGATGCCTTGGGGTGCTCTACAGGGGCTATTGCGGTCAGATTGCTTGTGGGCCTGTTTTAGTTTAGAGATGGAAGAAAAGGGCTTGGCTATGCACGAAAAGTCTTCTTTTGTCTAAGTAAAATGGATATTTATTGAAGGGTTAACATTCTGAAAAAAAATAAAAGGATATTTATTGAAATAACAAATTACAGATAATAAAAATTAGTGAAGATTAGTTTAACACAAGAAACCTCTTGGAAGTTTGGAAGCAGAAATCCCAGAATCCTTCCTTGGTTACACCCTGTAAATGAGTCTCTCCACCACCATGATTTACTTCCTGTGGAGTATGAATAATGAACAATTTCCATTGAATTTCCATAATAAGTAATTATTTTGAGAAAAATTGATCCCGATCTGTAGAGGATTGGGAGGTATCCTTTGGACACATCGCATAATGTTATGCAAGATTTCTTAGATAGTGGCTGGTACCACTTTTTTGTTATTAGGTGAACTTCTTGATCCCATGAGTTTCAACACATATGACATCATTAGAAGCCAAAGGTCTTGCATAAGCTTGAAAATTGTTCCCTCTGCATTTCTGTTAGTCCCGCAGTCACTGTAGAATCAGGAAAATTGGAGAAGACAAAATTAATAAAAACTTGCAAATAATAAAATTTTAACTAAGGTTTTGTTAGGCTACACCACTTGTGGTGTAGACCCTTAAAGTGCTCAATATTTTTAGACATTTAGATACCCTTATCCTATAGTATAGTAACTTTTTGTTTTGGGGTATTTTAAGTAATTAGTCAAGGGTAAACTAGAAATTCCTATTAGACAAAAAAACATTTATTAAAAATAGTGGACAATGACATCACTGATATGCTATGTGACATCACCCACAAGATGCACTAATGGAATGCCACTATTTTTTATTTTTTTAAAATATCCATTCTACCCTTCTGAGTGACCAAAATTGCCCCTACTTGAAAAATTTTGTATTACAATTCAAGGGTATTTTAGTGTCAAAAAATGTTGAGCACTTTAAGGGTCTACACAACCACGTGGTGTAGCCTAACAAAACCCTTTAACTAATTAGAATTACTGTCTGTATGTAATTTAAGTTCTTTTTTTATTGTTTGCATTCATTTTCCCAATATTAAAAATTTCAGCATTGTGGGGTTTTTATCATGTCAGACATGGGTTAGAATGTTCATGTACATTGGTTTTAGAAATGCTGAATGATGTGTTTGTTGGTGGTTCACAACCTCGTTTGTAACGTTTGAACCATGCATTGAAATTCATGCTGGACTTGGTCAGATTTTGGCGAGAATTTGACATAAGCCCTTGGCCATCCTAGAAATATACTCGATAATGGTGACAATACTTTTCAGTCGCACCTTATTTATTGTCAGCTGTTTGGTTTAGATTTTTCCCTAAAAATGAAGGGAATCAAGAAAGTAAATTATGTCTTTTCAGGTTTGAAATTAAGTATGTCCTGTGGAACTTGAATCTGTGATTCATTGGAGATTTGTCAACAGATGATCCGATTTCTGAACAATTGTTTTGTCTGAAGCCAAATGATTTGAATTCCTGAATAAGTTTTCTGTGAAGAAAGTTGACTTTGTTTACTTTCAGGTGAGTTCAGACGGTAAGCAATTTGCTGTCACCTCTCCTGACCGTCGAATACGTGTATTTTGGTTTATCTCAGGAAAGTTGAGGCGAACTTATGACGAGTCCCTTGAGGTAAGTTCAAGCCTTTTACTTGAAAGACTGGTCTTTGGAATGATTAGAGTGTACATTGTGCTAAGCAATGATTTTGTTTTCATTAGGTAGCTTAAGACTAAGCAATGATTTTGTTTTCATTAGGTGGCTCAAGATCTGCAGAGAAGCGATGCTCCATTGTATAGATTGGAAGCAATTGACTTTGGTCGAAGAATGGCTGTAGAAAAGGAGATAGAAAAAACCGAAGATGCGCCACAACCTAATGCTATTTTTGATGAGAGTTGCAACTTCCTTCTGTATGCCACCCTCTTGGGTATAAAGGTGGGTTTCTTGATATGTTTCAAAATTTTCAGTTGTCATTCATCAATCTTTATATATCAAGGTATCTTTAATATTGGTAGATATTATGACAGTGTCCATATGTTTTGTTTTTGTGTTAGGATTTTATCTTGTGATTGGTTGTGAGGTTTGGGATATGATGGTTTATCTCCAATTCATTCTTGAATGTGAACAAAAAGTATTTCTCCTTTGGGGAGCATTTCAATGTTATTCAAAAGATACTTTAAAATTTGTTGAACATTTTAGTAATGGGATTTTCGTGAATATTTTGCGATGATATTTTCTAGTTAATCCCAGAATTGAATTGAATTAACTTAGCCTATGGTTAGTTCTACTGTAGCCTCTCCTCCCTGGTTGGAGAGTCGGTGAGCTCGTTAGTGTCTCAATGATCATGACAGTTTCTTTCAGGATTGTCTTATTCCCCAACTTCTACTGAGGGGATTTTGGTCTTCTTAAATTTCCTTGGCCGGTGCTGTCAAATATTGTTCTTTTTCCTTTTTTTGTAAAATCTTATGGCTTTTGTCTTTTTTAGTGTATGCACACGTGCAAATGGTCACCCATACTTGAATTAAAACTCATAATTTATATTTATTTCGTTATCAATACTATAAATCTAAGTTGATATAATATAAAAAATTAATTAGAAAGTGTAATGTATATAAAGTTGATGTCAATAGCAGTTTTTAGAAATTCAGCCAAGTCGGTTTGGACTTGGGTGAGTTACTCGGCCTCAGCAGTGTTTTGAGGCGGGTTTGGGTGTCAAAATCAGGGTCGCATATACCTGTAGTACTCAGGCAAGTACTTTACATACTCTCCTGACGATCCCCTGTTTTATCTTTCTCTCTCTCTCTCTCTCTCTCTCTCTCTCTCTCTCTCTCTCTCTTTCTCACCCCTGCTGCGCCCTCCTCTATTCCCCGCAGCTAAATACCACCTCTCTCTCTCTCACATCAAAGTCCCAGTTGTCCTCTTTTGCTAAATAAATTAGATGCGGGCTTTGATTTGTGGGGTTTCATTCTTGTGGGTTCAATTGGCCTAGAGATTCATCGGATATTATGAAGCCATGGTTCACATTCTTGAAATTGGTTTCTAGGGCTCCCCACCCATGAACATCAGAGCCCTTGGATCATGTTGAATTCTGAAGCCCATATAAGCAGTTTTCTAATGTTTTGGTCGGCCCCCTAAGCTGGTGTTGAGCCGTTGAGAATCTGGATTTGAAACCCACCATACAGTGGTTTTTTGGGAAGTTTCAGCCATGAAAAGGGGTAAAGGTAAAGTTTGCGGAACACAACAAAAAAATTGCTATGAATCAAAGCCCCATCTGATTGTCATTAAAGAAGCTCAATAAATCCATATTTCTTCATAGAAAATAAAGAAGAATAGCCTTTGTTAATCTTTTGATTATTATTGTCCGCCTTTTTCTATCTTTTCTTATCTTGGGGATTTTTCTCTAATTTTGTGCCTTTTTAACACCATTTTCTAGCCCGGGCAGGATTCTGGCGTGTGCTCAGTAACTTGGCAAGGGCAGGGCTGAGTACTGAGCCCTAGCCAAGTTTCTGAACATTGGTCATTAGGACCATAGTGTGGTCGGCTTTTTTTTTTTCTAAAGTGGTGCTTTTCCAGCTTTGTATCTCATTTTCTGCGTAAGCATTCTTTCTTTCTTGAAGGATCGATGTCTGATCCAACAAAGAGAATAAAAAAAATTCTAGCTTAAATGGCCTACAGCTCTCCAAAACCAGAAGCACTAAAAGTTTTAAACACCCATTTTCCTGGCAATATTTTTATGAGATTGTTTACTGTTAAGACTCTTTATAACTTTAGAACAATGAGGTCACAACTAATCTTAGCCATTAAATGTCAAATCATAGAGCTTAGGGTATGTCACAAAGTTCAAGAATTTTTTTTCGAACTTGGAGCCTAAGCAATGACACATTCTCAGCCTTTCGATTTCAAATCTAACAATCAAAAGTGAATTGATCAAAAGTGAATTGACTTCCTTATATAAAAGGTAAATAGTCTCGTTGTGAACATTCACTATTTTTATTGTATTAGCAATTTGGTTTCAGTTTGTACTTACAATTGCATGATGCAAATTCTGTAGATTGTGAATTTGCACACAAATAAAGTGGCCAGAATCCTTGGGAAGGTGGAGAACAATGAACGCTTCTTGAGAATTGCTCTATACCAAGGTGATAGAAATAGTAAAAAGGTAAGGAAACTACCAGGAGCTGCAGCAAATGTTATGGAGAGTAAGGAACCTTTAATAGATCCTACTCTTCTGTGTTGTGCTTTCAAGAAGCACCGGATTTACTTGTTCAGGTATTGAAGTATTTGCATATTTCTCTGAATAGTACTAATACTTTTATTTTCAACAGGTTACCCTATCACATATTGAGCTGGGAAATTTCTGATTATATGGTTGTGTATAAAAACAGCCGGAGGGAGCCAGAGGAGCCGGAAGATGCCAGCAAGGGGAGGGATGTCTTTAATGAAAAGCCACCTCCTGAAGAACTTATGGCTGTATCAGATGTTGGGAAGGCCGTGACAACATCTCTGCCTGACAATGTGGTAACGTATCTTTACATCCTTTATGATGATTTGATTCATTAATCAGTGGATTGTTCTTTTTTCTTTTATAGATGAGGAACTGTTATGCATTCTTAGTGACCTTTTTGACTCCTTGATATTCAGGCTGAAACTGATTTATCCTTCAATGTCATGTTCATTGGAATATAATGTTGAATTTCTCTGTTCCGATGGTTGAAAGAATTCATATAACATTTGTGTTCTTCCAAGCCATATTAGAAATTTCGTATCAAGTATGGTACTAATGTTTATTATTTTCATTGAATACTACCCACTATTTTTATAAACTTGTATTATATATATATATTATGTATATTATTGACAAGTAAATGTATGTTCACAAGAAGACATAAATAGGAAAGTTATAATGAAATATAAATTGGAAAGTTAAGTTTATAATTCCTTAAATTTAAAAGGAATATTTAGGAAATATTTTTCTCTTTTTACTTTCAATTTTTTTTTTCAAGTTTCCTTTTCTTGTAATTTTTTAATTTAAGATGTTTTCAATGATGCTGGCTTGCACCGTCATCATTATGCAAGATTTATCCTAATTATTTGCGGTCAGCTACACGAATCCTATTTCGCCATTCCACTCTTTGAAGGTTCATACCCTTTGTCAGACTATAAATCACGATATCTTTGCTCAGTACTTCCATCTATGTCCTTTGGGGTGTTCCCCTTGCCCTTTTAGAGCCTTCCACTTGAATGAAATCACCCCTCCTAACCGGTGTTGTTCTTGGTCAACGTTGCACTTGACCAGATTGCGTAAGTCTACTGATGCTGGGTTCCACCAATTGTGCAAATTTGTGGTTTTAGTTTTTCACTTTTCTTCCCCATTTGTGCATGTATATTTGTTTGTACTATGTAAAACTTGATGTAATAGTACATCAGCAATGAAAGATATCTAACCAACCAAAAAAGAGAAAAAAAGAAAAGAAAAGAAAAAGGTTTGTTTTTCTTAAAAGTCCCCATAACATTTTTCAGGATATACAAATGTTCAGTTTTATGCCATGATCTGGCTTCACCTATGCTATATGAGGGAATTCCATAGCAATCCTAGGGCTTATTGTGTATTTCGTGCCCAAGGGGCATCCATGGGACATTCCAATGATAAGTGGCAGCTCTTTTAGAGGGCCATTGACAACATTGTATTGGACTATATACATCCCCATTTTTGGGGCTTTATTGATTTGACAAATTCCTTTTTTTTTGGTATGTTTTAGATGCATTCAAATGTATGTTTGTTTTTCAAATCACACTAAATCTTTTCTTGAATGGGTTTAGCAGAACATTTGAATGTATAATTGTTTGTGAAATCATTCATATTTGATATGTTTTTCTCTCTCAATACCAGATTTTACACACAACAATGGGGGACCTTCACATGAAATTGTACCCTGAAGAATGCCCTAAAACTGTGGAGAATTTCACAACCCACTGTAGAAATGGGTATTATGACAACCTTATTTTTCACCGAGTCATCAAAGGCTTCATGATCCAGACTGGAGATCCTTTGGGAGATGGCACTGGTGGGCAGTCCATTTGGGGAAGAGAATTTGAAGATGAGTTCCACAAAAGGTACATAACTGATGCTTTTCAAATTTATTGGGATGCATAATTTTAAAGATTCCCAGTGCACAAATCTTTTTATGGGAATTATTGGCCATGTTTACCACCTACTTCTCCCCCCCCCTCCCTCCCTCCTTTTTTTTCTTTTTTTTTAAATCATCTTTTTTGCTTAAAACACATTCACTACTTTTTGCCTTTTCTATTTATTGTTTGAGGAATCGTAATCAATTTCAATAAATGCTGAAATCATGAGAGAGAATGAGAGAGTAAAAAACTCAGACAGAGAGAGAGAGTAAAAAACTATGTTATTGCAGGCCCTGATTGAGTGATTCTTTTATTGACATATTCTCTGATTTAGTTGGTGCCATTAATTATATCGCAAGTGCTTTATGTCTCTGCAGTTTGAGGCATGATAGGCCCTTCACTCTATCGATGGCCAATGCTGGTCCCAACACCAATGGGTCCCAATTCTTTATCACCACTGTCGCTACTCCATGGTTGGATAATAAGCACACCGTCTTTGGTAGAGTAGTTAAAGGAATGGATGTTGTTCAGGTAGGATGGCTTTCAAGATTAACATTTCTGAATTTTGTTTCTTATGTAACTTCTCTCTCCTGATCAATGGTTACTAAAACTCCAACCTCTCTATCTTGTTATTCCTAAAAGATTACATGCTCCTGCTGGAGCATTTTGGGCATTTAGTCCCTTGGGTAAAATCCTATCAGGAACCATTCTTAGACCCATATTTTCGGGGACATAAGCTCCTCACCCTGATGACCAACTTCCCAAAAAACAAAACACAAAAATAGAAAAAAGAAAACGACAAAAAACATGCACTCTATTAGACAAAGATGGTCTATTTTTTGCAGTTCCAATTTTTGTACAATCAAATCTTATGAACTCGAAATCTTTTTTTTTTTTTTTAATACCCATCGTAGATCCTTAAGTGGACCCCAAAATTTTAAATTGAAAAATCATCCTAAGTAGGTATGTTTCTCCAGGGAATAAGTGTCTAGTAATGGCCCTGGGGGAGTATGTGTGCTCTACTTCTTGTAACAACTTGTCAACAAAAAAATATCTTCTGATGGTTTTGTGGTTTCCTTCTTGGTAGGCAATTGAGAAAGTGAAGACGGATAAGAATGATAAGCCTTATCAGGATGTGAAGATTTTGAATGTGACAGTTCCCAAGTCATAGTACTTGACGTGATATTGGAGTTGTTTTGGCATTGGTTTCTAGAATATGGAGAGCAGCTTTTGCTATGCCAGGTGACTGACTGTAAACTTGGTAGAATAAGCTTATTAATCCATGTTAAACTGTGAATGTAAATTATAAACAACCACACGGAAATTGATTCTCGCTTTTATGCTTTAGTGCTGAATGGAGGAATACGATTCATGTAGTCCACTCCAAATAATTGGGATAAAGCTTGGATAATGTTGATGATTGTTTATTGTGGAATTTATCAAGTCTTGTTTTTTAGCGGAAGAAATGAAAGTCTCTTCATGATTACTGTGTTCAATGGAAGAATGAGAAACATGATTTTACAAATTCCATTCCAGGCACTCTTTTGCTAAGGATTTGCTTGAATCTCCACATGAAATGCAAGTAGGCTACTTACCCCCTTCCACCTTTGGTGACGAATAATGAAGGGAAAAGGTTCTATAAGCTGACATTACGGTATAAGCCGGGCCTGGAAATACGCAGCTAGAGGGATTTGTTTGGGCTGAAAATTTGCATAATAATTTTTAATAAAAAATTATGAGTGAAAAAAAAAAAATTTTGATTTTCAATTATTGAAGGCTTACATCCATGGACCAAATGGATGATGACCTTCTGATTAAAAATTATTTTTGTTTTTCTAATTTTGTGTAAATTCATTTGTAATATTGTTCACCTACATGAGATTAGCGTTTTTGCAAGATTTAAATTCCAATGGACTCTTGTGTTTCAAAGTGGCTTTATACTTCTGTTGGCTTATATGGTTTTTTTCTGACAAAAAGTTGTGCATTTTAAATTGTTTTGGCCAATCATGAATCAATGTGCTTGCGCTGAGTTCCACCAAAGTTATGTCTGCTTAATGTGTATGAATTTGGATATGGTTAACTTGCAAAGGCCATCACTGTCCAACCCATTGTAACATATTTGTATTAAAAGTAAACGGTCTCTTTGTACACTTTTATAATATTATGGTTATATTTATCCAACCCATTGATTGATCTGTGAATAATATTTTAGGCGTATTGTTTACATTACGTCCAGAACTACGAGCAAATGTTGGCTAGTCAAATTCTCTTAGGATAAATTTATAGTCTTTGCATGATGGTTAATCTATCTTAACAAGGAAGAAGTCTATTTAGCTTTTATGTGATTTATTTTTATAAATTATTAAATGTTAATCTTGTTAAGTGTTTACTATTACTAAATTGTAGGTCATAGCAGAATCTAGAATAGCTTCACCTATCTTATTTCTTTCATCAAACGCATATCCTCCATGCATCCCTTCCTATCTTCTACTATCATTCCTTATATGTCTGTTTGAGTCCCCTCCTAAAGAGTTCATTTCCATTTGGTAGGTCTTGGAATAGTCCATCCATGTCCTCTCAAAATTGTCTATTAATCCTATTCTCTAGTCCTATTTGTGATGCATAAGCACTAATTATGTTAATTATATCTTCTCGTACTACAAACTTAATTAACTGGAGCCTATCACCTACTCTCTTGACATTAACTACTTTAACTTAAATCTTTGTCACTATTATGCGCACTTTATTTCTACGATTATCTTTTCATGTATACCAAAGTTTATACCCATCTATTTTTTTTGTTTTTCTTTTCATTCCACTTAGTTTTCTATAGACAGGGTATGTTTACTCTTAGTCGTCTTATTGTATCCATGAACTCCAACTCTTACCCGTAAGTGTTCTCATATTTTATGTGTCTAGGCAAATTTTATTATATTGGACCAGCTTCTTTACCCACACTTGTTTAAACTGTCGTGAGAACCCTTGCCTATTTTTCACCACAATCGAGAGGCACTGCAATGCGTGCGTCGCTTATAGGGAATGCCATAGCTAATATTTGTTCATTT